TCTTCTAAAGTCTTCTTTTGTATTGAATTGTTTATCACTGCTGTGATTGAGGGGGAGCGAGAGGTGTCTCTTGTCTAGTGGATCCTAGGCAGAAATAGCATTGGGTAGAGATTAAGTGAGGGGTTGTAAACGAGGGAGTTTAGCTCTGAATTAATTATGCTAATAGTGGATTTCCTTCCTGGCTTAGTAGCCCCCAGATGTAGGTGATGTTGCACCGAACTGGGTAAACAATTCATTGTGTTATTTATCTTTCAGTATTTATAATTCTGCACACTTTAAATGGTTAGATAAATAGTTCTGCCAGTCTGCAGATGTTACAACAGAGGTCATGACATTGGTAATTCTTAAAGGGATTTAAAATGGTCATGTTCTGTCCTTGTTCTGTTTTAGCAGAGATCAGTGTTCTTGGGACATCTGAGATCTGTATACCAGAATTTCAAATATGATTGATGAATCTTATGGTTGGTGGTTAGACATTATATCTTCTCATTGTGTCTGTTATTACCGTGCAATGTTCAAAACATACATGAAAATGAAAGTGTCATTGGGAGTTGCCCACACCACTAAAGTTGTCGGTATTAGAGAAGTGGAGCAAAGTCCACCTGTAAAAATACTTTAATCTTGAAGGATGTCGTGTATACTTCAGAGATAACAGAGAATCTTATTTCTGGTTTTCTTTTGAAAAAGGCAGGGTTTAGTCAGTATATCAGAGTAGGTTTGTACACAAGCACTAAGAATGATATTTTTGTAAAGTTTCTATGTTTAAGACTTTTGTGAATGAAATTAATTTAGTAAGAAGAGACTTCGTAGTGATAAGGGAACTAAATATGATTCCGGTTTATTTAATAAATTTTATAAATAACATGGATTTGTAGAGGAAATGGCTGCACTATATTCTCCTAAATTGAATGCTAAAGCAGAAAGAAAGAATGAAACTCTTGCTGAATTTGTTATTTCTATTATGTTGAATTCGCGTGCTACATCTCATTCATGGGAGGAAATTTTATTGATTGTTTTCTATGTCCTAAATAGAGTTCCCAAGTCTAGAAATAATATCTCTTCTTATGAGATATTGAAGAAAAAACAACCAAACTTGTCTTACTTTAGATTTTAGGGTTGTCTGACTTATACCATAATTCTTGATCTGAAGCGAGTTAAACTCGCTAGTAGAGCTTATGAATGTGTTTTAATTGGGTATACAACAAATAGTAAGAAGCATATAGGTGTTATGACCTAAATTCTAAAGTGATAACAAAATCAAATGGTGTTGAATTCTATGAAGAAAAATTTACTTTCAAATTGTGAAATAGTGGGGGCACTGAATTGAATCACATTCCTGTGATAAAAAGCCCTAAAAGCAATAATGAAGTAGAAACATAACTTCAACAAAGAAAACTTGTAGAAGTTTCTAAAGACTATGGGACCGATTATGCGGCCTATATAGTAGAAGAAGATCCAAAAAAATTTTAAACCTTGGCATTTTTAGATGCACAGTTGTTGCTAGAAGTTATTAATTATGAGATAAATTCTCTAGAATCTAACAAGACTTGCCACTTAGTAGAATGGACTTCTGGATGTAAACCAATTAGTTTTAAATGAGCTTTGAAAAAGAAATTAAAACATGATGAAACATTTGATAAGTACAAGGCTCGCCTTGTAGCCAAAGGTTTTAGGCAAAGAGAAAATATAGATTTCTTTGATACTTTTTCTCTAGTCACATACATTACACCCATTAGGGTATTTATTTTAATGAATGCTATTTATAACTTAATAGTACACCAAATGGATGTTAAAACAACTTTTTAAACTGTGAGTTAGTAGAACAAATCTATATGGACCAACCAGAAAGGTTTGTAATTCATGGGCAATAAACAAGGTATGTAAGTTAGATAAGTCTTGGTATTGTCTAAAACAAGCTTTAACGTAATGATAGGAGAAATTTGATAACTTAACGATATCGATTGGGTACAAAGTGAATGAAAGTGACACATGTGTTTATTATAAATATGAGAATCACATTTGCACTATCACATGTCTCTATGTAGATGACTTACTCATATTTGAATCAGGCCTTCATGTACTTAATGATTTAAAATCATTATTGTGAAACAACTTTGATATAAAAAACCTAGGAGGTACGTGTGTGATTCTTGGAATCAAAATAACTAGATTTGAAAAAGGAATTTCCTTGGATCAATCTCATTATGTGCAAAAGATCTTAACGAAATATAATTACTTTGACTATAAATCAGCGTGCACGCCATACAATCCAAGTGTGAAAGGATTTAAGAACACTAGTGAAAGTTTTATACAAATAGAATATGCGATCATTGGTAGTCTTATGTATGTATCTGATTGTACTAGACTCGACATTAGATATGTCGTAGCATTGTTGTGTAGGTTTACTAGTAAACCAAGTAATGATCGTTGGAAAGCTATTGAACGAGTCATGCGGTACCTTAAAAGGACCATAAATATAGGTTTACATTATCATAGATTTTATGTTGTACTTGAAATATACAATGATGTAGATTGGAATATCTTATCAGATGATTCTAAAGAAACTAGTGGTTATATATTTAAGATAGCTGAAAGAGATGTATCTTGGAAATCAAAGAAACAAACTATCTTGGTTTAATCCACAATGGAGTTTGAGATGGTAGCATTAGCGACTGCTAGTGAAGAAGCAAGTTGGTAAAGATGTTTGCTAGCTGAGATCCTTTTGCGAGAAAAACCTACGTTAGTTGTGTTTATCCACTACGATAGTACCACGACTATTGAAAAAGTTTAGAACCATTATTATAATGGTAAAAGATGTCAAATTAGAAGAAAGCACAAAACTATTAGAGATTGTATCTTTAAAGGAGCTATAAGAGTAGATCATGTACGCACTAATGAAAATTTAGCAAATCCTTTGACGAAAGGATTAGCTAGAGAGAAAGTCCATAATACATCTAAGAAGATTAGATTAATGCCGATATAGAAATAACTTGCTCATGATGGTGCCCGACCTAAATGACTGGAGATTCCAAGAAATAGGTTCAATGTGTAATAACAAGTTATGAGTAATATGAGATAATCATGCGAGTATAAATAAGTAAAGCATGAATCCCGAAGAAATAAGAGGATGAGATAATAAAAGCTCTTAATGAGATCTATACTCTGTATGAGGGAGTACCTAGGCTAGACGAGTACTCTTGATAAATCCACCTATGTGATTGTGGAACTTAGGCCAATTTCTATGGAATTCCGAGGCAGAGTTTCTAGAGCCTTCACTAAACCGGGATACACGTGCAGGGTCATTAAAGCACATGCTATTAGAATACACCTTAAGAAAAGGTTGTGAACGAGTTTGATTTCTGAGATAAAGTTCAAGACAATTGTATCACTCTTGTTGAATCAGAATCCTACTTGCTACACAAAGGTTCAAGTCACAGACACCTTTATTTATGCACAATCTTAGAAACTTTTGAAGTTACTTTCAAAATAAATTTTTAAATTCAAGTGGAGGATTGTTGGAACATTATATCAATATTCCAATATAGGGAGATGAATTTGAAAAAGTTCTCTAAGTCCTACATTGTATGTTAGTTGAATAAACTCATTAATCCCACATTATTTAAGTGAGATATCTTAGCCAACTCACTTCATTATATAAGGAAATTCCATGTTTCTTTCCAAAACACACACAAAAAAAATCCTTTTATTGAGTGTTTTCTTCCTCACTCTTATAACTCCGCATCTTTCGATTTGTCGAAGCGCAAACTTCTTTCACTTTCTTTCCACTCGTTGAATTTTCAAGTATTTTCTTGAATTCCCTTTATAGAATTATGTTAATTTCTCCTCTTTTGAGTTGAGAAATAACAAGTATTAATTTTTGAATTCTCTTTGGAGAATAATTTGAATTTCTCTTGGTTTGAGAAATTATAACGACTGGTCGTTATACTAGATACCACAAGTGATATTTATACCATATTCAAATGGTCTTTGTACGATCATAGGGTGTATTTCTAGACCAATTATCTATTGTATAAATAATAATAATATAATATAGAACATGACGGTTTTATCCTGGAGATGTCGTGGTAGTTTGATTGCTTTGCATAATTTTAGGAAGTGTCGTGTGTCGTACCTCAAAACATGAGAACACAACCTCGCGAAGCGCAATCGCACGATGGACTTTATAGGGTCGCCACCAAACTTTATTTATTCCCAAAGAGGAAAGGGAAAATATCGATAAAACCCCTAAAAGAAAGATAAGGATATTGTCATCGTAGTTAATATCAGTGTTCGAGAGTCGGTTACAAAAGAGGAAGAGACTAACACCTCTCACGTCCATCGTACTCAACAGAAACCATTTGGTTAGTGAAGAGAGAGAGAGAGAGAGAGAGAGAGAGAGAGAGAGAGAGAAGTGTGTTTGGCTATTTTTTTGCATTTTACTGAGTTGTCATTGTCATGAGTATTTGCTTTTGTTTTGTTTTTTTGGAAATATTCAAATTAAGAGAGTGATACATGAGATGGTACAGGCGCCTTGGTGGTCCTAAAATGGACAATGCATATTAACGTATATATAAGAAAATTAAGGCTTTAAAAAATAATACAAATTCCTAAATTGCCCATTTATTTAGTGATTAAATGAGTTTTAAAAGTTAAACGAAATTAAAAAAATCAAATACTTAAATAAAACAAAAGTAAGTACAAAAAATCACATGCTTAATATATATATATATATATATATATATATATATATATATATATATATATATATATATATATATATATATATATATATATATATATATATATATATATATATATATATATATATATATATATATATATATATATATATATATATTGAATATTTTGATTGGAAAAGTGAAAAATAAATGGATTAAAAACAAATAAAAATCTATAGAGCTATCAACTGCACCAATATGGTCAAGAATTTTAGACCTATTTCTTGTTGCACAGTTATTTACAAGCTGATTTCGAAAATTATGGCTAATAGATTGGGGAAGGTTTTGATCAGTATTATCCATAGCAGTCAAGATGCTTTTGTGCCAGGAAAGAACATACATGACCATATCCTCATCGCATATGAGTTGATAAGAGGCTACAGTGCAACAAATGGTGCCACTAAGTGTATGCTCCAGATGGATTTGCAAAAAGCATATGACACAGTTGAGTGGATAGCTTTGGAGAACATATTGAAGGAGCTCAACTTTCCTCAAAAGTTCATCAATTGGATAATGATCACTATCAAAGCAGTCTCTTATAAGTTTCAATTGAATGACTCATATACTCAATTGGTGGATGCTAATAGAGGCTTTAGGCAAGGGGGCCATTTGTCTCCCTTATTGTTTGTGACAGTCATGAAGTATTTTGATAGACTTCTTCAAAAGCTAAAAGGAAAACCCAACCTCAATTATCATTCAAAATGTGAGAAGATGGATATTATAAACTTCAGCTTTGCTGATGATTTGCAATTGTTTGCTAGAGGAGACTCTCAATATGTGGAAATGTTGATGGTTGTGTATGAAGAGTTCTCTAAATCCACATATTTGAGGATAAATCCAACCAAGTGAAAAGTTTTCTTTGGAAATGTGAGAGAAAGGGATAGACAAAGCATCCAAGAGTTAACTAATTTTTCTGAGGGTCAGCTGCGTTTTAGGTATCTTGGAATACCTCTAACCATTAAGAAGTTACACTTAAATCACTACCTTCCTCTGATTGATAAAATTCTAGCTAGAATCAATCATTGGAGTTCTAGGCTTCTCTCTTTCGCAGGTAGGACTCAGCTCATCAATAGTATGATATTTGCCATGTCCAACTACTGGCTTCAATGTTTTCCCTTGCATAAGAAAGTTATCACTAAAATTGATGCCACCTGCAGATTTTTCTTGTGGTCAGGGACCGATAATATAACAAAGAAATCCCTCATAGCTTGGAAGAAAACCTGCACTCCTAAGAAGCAGGGAGGTTTGAATATCATAAATATTAGCAAATGGAATAAGGCTTGTCTTTCTAAGCTTTTGTGAAATGTCAATAGGAAATTTGAAAGCATGTGGGTTAAAACGATCCACTGCTATTACATAAAGTCTCAAAATGTGATGACAATGGACATCCAAAGCAATACAACTTGGATTATGAAATCCATCCTGAAGCTGAGGCCCATTGTTGTTGATTTGAATATTTGGAATAATTTTATGCAAGAGGACAAGTTCTACACAAGGAAGTTGTATGATGTGTTGAATGATACTCGTCAAGTTATGGCTTGGAGGAAAGTCTTCTACAACAATCCTGCTAGGCCAAGAGCTTAATTCACATTATGGATGGCTTGTCATAGAAGGTTAGAAATAAAGGAGAGACTTAAGAGATTTGGCTTTTATAGTAAAGATGTTTGTTGCATCTGCAGAGTGACAGAAAATATTGACCGCCTCTTCTTTCAGTGCAGAGCTATGAGAATGGTGTGGCTTGAGGTCTTGAATTGGCTTCATATACTGCATAATCTTGGCAGTTGGCATATTGAGATTAATTGGATCATTGAGAAGAGAAAATTAAAGACCTCAAGTGTAGGATCCTTAAGTGTGCTTTGATAGAAACTCTTTATGAGCTACAAAGATTTTGAAGTGAGACTTGTTTTGGAATAGCTAGTAATTACAGTAATATTGGATCTAGGATCATAGATGCCATTGTCTATAGATGTTAGATGAAAGTCAACATTAGGAAAACCATTGGTAGCTTACTAATGCCTTAGGTTTTATCTCTTTTGTAGTCTTGTCTCTTTTCTTAGCTGGATCTCAGTTAGGGATCGCTTGGTTCAGTTAGGGATCGCTTGGTTGTAATCGTTTTTTAGTTAATAAAGTATTTTTATTTCAAAAGAAAAGAATAAAAATTGGGCGTAAAAATGCTTAGAAAATTAAACTGAATGCACCAAAATGACCAGTGCGAAATAAACTTTTCGAAAACATACATGTTTTGATCAAATCTTGAAATAAAAATTGTCCGGTTAAAAGGATCATACTAATCAACGTTCAACAAAAGAAAGTAGTCGAAAACTTAAAACAAGCATACCAGGTTAAACTACGCGAATAATAGATTAGTATAGTTGAAGTCTGAAAGCTCAGTTTTGAAATTTTTCGCCATTAATTTTACGCACAATTGAGGATCAGTTCAACTGATCTGTTTGTAAATCCGAACAAATTATTCTGTTTGACATTTTAGGTATTATGCAAGATGAAATGTATGCTAAGATATGCAGATGATGCAAATGTCAGGATGAGTATATCGATTTGGTGATTCAGGGTCAAAAGTGGGGTATGACAGTTGCCCCTATTTAAATATCTTCAACCAGAGAATATGAAGAATGTTAATCTTCATATGATTATGGTGGGAGATAATTAAATACCTAAAGACCCTAATTTTATCCTTGAATACAAATGAAATGGGATGATATTTTATGAACGCATGAAGGACTCTCTTTTTTGTTTGTTGGAGATATGATGCGAAATGAACCCTAGCATGATTTTTTTTTATGATGGACAATAAGTAGAATTGTGGGGAATGATGGAAATATGGTAATGGTGGTCCATAGGAAAAGAAACAAGACAATGAGGGTGAAGACTAGCGAGGGATAACAAACTACTGGGGAAAAGTCACTGGGAAATATTTAAAGTGCGTTATCAACTGACAAGCTGGAACATTATAATATACTGCAAATTTGGAGATTTTTTATTAGAAATATACCCTACATAAAGTTATGGAGTTTTCTAACAAGAAAAATCATTCAATCAAACCAAATGGAGATCCCTAACAAGGAATCCATCCAATACAAACTCTGGATTTTTCAGACAAGAAAATCATCCTCACAAAAGGCTTTAAAATTCTTTTCAAAGAAATCAATCAAGACAAACATCATTGGAGTTTTTAAACAAGAATAACATCCAAGCTTCTGGGAATTTCTTAAAATGATGAGTCATACATGACCTTTTAGGAACCATCAAGAAAATAGGGTATTCAAACTCTCTATATGTGCTAACAAATTTGGACATAGACCGTAGGCATTGGTTACAACCAGATTCTAATGGATTGGTATCATTTACAACTGGACTTTAGTTGATGTTGGTGACTTCCAGACTTCAACCAATTACAATTGGATTTACAAACGAAGTGCCAATTATAACTAGACTTTAGAGATGATGCCAATAACAATTGGACTTGCAACTAGTGCTAGTAACAACTAGACCTTGGGGGGACGTCTAATGAAAACTTGGACTTTTAAGGATACCAATAACAATTGGATTTTGAAAAGATACCAGTAACAAATGAATTTTGAAGATAATGCTAGTGACAACTAGATTTTATAGACACTAAAGACAATTGTGCTTTGAAATGACACCAATGACAATCGAATCTTAAGGACACCAATAACAATTGAACTTTAAGCATGAACTTCCAAACAAGAACTGGACTTGAAGGATAAATTACCAGATGAGAACTGGTATTTCATTTTTTTTGTCAAACGATAACTAACTTTAATATGGACTACCAGAACTGGAAATAAATATAGACTACCAGATGGGAACTGGTTTTCAAATAGCCCAACAGACGAGAACTTGTTCCTTCTTATTTATTATCATATGGGAACTAACTTTAAAATGGGTTACCAGAAAAGAACTAGTTTTGAAAATAAATTGACTACCATACGGGAGTTGGAGTTAAAAAAAAGGCTACCAAACGGGAACTAGTTTTGAAAACTAACTGTCAAACGGGAACTGAATTTCAAATGGCCTACCAGATGATAATTGGTTTTTTATGTTTGATCTTTTTCATGTATGGGCATATGCCTGATCAATGAAATGATATGCATGGCTTGACGCTAGAGTGAAACGACTTGATTAATGCATGATAATGATTTATGCAATGATTCAAAGACTTTCGAAGATGCCCCTATGGTAGGTAATGGATGAAAGTTTTCTTTTGCAACAAAGCTTCTTCTTAAAAGGTAAAAGGTTATTTTATAAGGTGATAACATGATTATCCAACACTCATCTTGAACTCAATGATTGCTGACGTATGGCAGAGTTTGCTTTAGCAGCTTCAAGTCATAGAGATGACCTACCTCTCTGTGGCTCATCTTGCCCCAGTCTGGATCTATGAAAAGGTTCACCTTAAAAGGGGTTTGGAAGCAGCTTGCCATAACCTTGAGGTGGATGGCTCCAATGTCTGAAACTTGAAGGGGTCCTTGACTAACCAACTTTTGGAGTGGTATACTTCTGATTGACCAATCTTTTGGAGAGTTGGACCCATTGAGCTCTTTGTGGTAGCTTGCCCTAGTTTGAGCCTTGAAGATTTGCTTTTTGATTACTCAAATCTTGGGATGATTGGATTAGATTATCTATGATCAAAGCGATTTGCCTCTGATTGGAGTTCTTTCACCTGATCAAGTTTCTCAACTGTCTGCATATTGTTGGGACTTGATGCTAAATGCTGACTTGCAGTTAAAATAGCTCATTCAAAAATGATAATTTTAATGCAGTGTTCATGAAAAATCTTGAAATCAAAATTTATTGATATCAATTTGGTGAAATGCAGTGAACGTGTTAATGATCATAACACAATGCTGATATAATGATTCACAGTGTGTAAGATGATGTGATCAATACAAATGATCACCAAAGATCGTTTGGAGTCAAGTTAACATAAACTTGTTGTAGTATGCTTTCAGAATAAATCATGCCTTAATTAGGTCTTTTAAGGGTTGTAACATGGCCTACTTCACGATTTTCTAAAAAAAAGGATATGAGGCACGGAATTTAATTTTAACCCACTCATTCTTCTTGATGATCTCCAGTCCTACCTTCAGTTGATTTAACACACACATTCAACTTCCAAGAGGATTGGAAGATGTAAGGGTGAAGATGAAGATTCAAGATGAGATTTTCTTGAAATGGCAATCACTTTACTTTGTATTTTTTGTTGAGGATTTTGTTGACCCCTTTTGATTGAATTTTATCCCTAATATTGCCTAGACCGCTTCTTTGAAGCTTTCGGTCCACCGGGATGCCCTAAGTTTTGGCTATGTTAGCAGGCTTTTCTATTTTTATTTTTTTTGAAAGGCTGTGACTGCCATGTTATTGGTGAATGAGGATCAACCAATGTAAATTTTGGCTTTTCACGACTTCTTCGACACTTCAAGATGTGTGAGAAGGACAGTATGTGGTTAATCTCCTCGGGTGGAGTGTATTCTCTTACAATTTGAATGCAAAGTCAAATTAACTGAACAAACTACCCTGCCCTGGTTAAGATTAAGGGTTCTAATTCTGAAATAAACACCAACTTCTAGGCTCGAAGTGGTTGACTAGATATTAACTCTTTATCTCTCTAGTGTTTGGGGATTTGAAACAATGCCTCACATCATCAGTAATGTTCTAATCGAAAGTATACTGCAACAATCTCGGGTATCTGGTTTTTACCATCCTCCCTCCAATATTTACTAGAACAAAAGTTTGATAAAGATATGTGAATGGGAGAAAAGCTGATATTTTTTTTTTGTATAAATGAAAGAGAAATAACAAGAGTGAATATAAGTGGATTGACTCAAAAAGTGCATGATCACTTCATTAATATTACTATTAAAATACAACAATGTTTAAAAATAAGTAGCATTTAATGCACAAAGAAAATATAAATGCAAATGATAACAACAACCAAATGATTGTCAGTGTTGAGGATGACTTTCTGTTTGATCCATTTTCTTCAGGAAATTCCCCTTGAGGTCTTCACACTTATTAGGGTGAGAGGTTAACGTGCACCACCAAGTTTCTTTCTAGAAAGGACATGTACTTCTTGTCAATTAATTGTTCTACTTTGGCTTTGAAAGCGTTGCAGTCTTCAGTTGAGTGCCCTATAGACCCGCCATAATATCCACATTGCACATAGGGGTCGTACCCAGGTGGGTAAGGTTGTGTAACCATCTTGAGAGACTTGAGCTCTACCAACGAGCTTTGAATCATAGGTTGTAGGAGTCGATTGTACATCATATGAATTGGATCAGGATAAACATTCATTATTTCTAGGTTGTTGCGAGGCCTATGCAGATTCTTATGTTGATTCTGATATCCCTTTGAAACATCGAAGCTTATGAGGTATTCACCTCGGGCGATAATACTTTCAAATAGATCTACTCTAAGTGAGGTTTTCGTGCCGACCATTCAACTCGAGAATCCACACTACTCAACCATCATCATATCTTATGTTTTCACTCTAGATTTAGATAGAAAATCTTTCTCTCAAGAGTTACAATCAGAGTATCCATGTACCAACGATTCACGGAAACCAATAATAACAATATAATAATGAAGATAAAAGTAATAAGATAAAGAAAAGTCAAACAATTAAACAAGCATAAGCACACATAACAAACCTAACTAGGCTTGACTCACTTAGGAATGAGAAAGATAAGAATATGGTCTTCGCAACTAATATCAGAGTTCGAGAGTCGGTTACGCAATGGGAAGGTATTAGTACCCCTCACATTTATTGTATTCAACCGTAGTCATTTGATAAGTGGAGGGAGAGAGAGAGAGAGAGAGAGAGAGAGAGAGAGAGTGAGAGAGAGAGAGAGAGAGAGAGAGAGAGGTATAATGAGGGTATGTTATGTTATGTTAAGGTGATTCGCATGACAATGTTTGAAAGAGAGTATACAATAAAAGTGAAATGAAGAACCAAAAAATTAACGTGAGAGGAAAAGTAAAAAAAAAGTGTGTTTAGCTTCTTTTTTTTTTTTTTTGCATTTTACTGATTTTACTGAGTTATCATTGTCATGAAAACTTGCTTTAGTTATTTTTATTTTTATTTATTTATTTAAATTTTTTGAGAGATATTAATGAGATGGTAGAGGCACCTTGGTGGTCCTTAAATGGCCAATGCATATTAACTTATATAGTAGAAAATTAAGGCTTTTAAAAATATTTCAAATTCCTAAATTGCCCCTTTATTTAGTGATTAAATGAGTTTTAAAAGTTAAATGAAAAAAAAATAAAAAAATACTTAAATAAAACAATAATAAAATACAATTAACTATTTACTTAAATCTATTTTTTTATAAATATTTTGATTAAAAAAATAAAAATAAATGGGTTAAAAAAAAATAAAAATCGAGCGTAAAAATGTTTAGAAAATTAAACTGAATGTAAAAAAGTGATCTGCGCGAAATAAACTTCTTGAAAACATACAAGTTTTGCTCAAATTTTGAAATAAAAATTGATCGGTTAAAAGACTCAGACTGATCAACATGCGACCAAAAAAGCAGTCGAAAAATTAAAACGAACACGTCAGGTTAAACGATGCGAACTGTAGATTAATATAATTAACGCTTGCAAGTTCAGTTTTGAAATTTTTCGCCCGCTATTTCATGTACAATTTAAGATTAGTTCAACCAATCTGTCTGTAAATGTGAAAAAAAATTCTGGTTGACATTTTAAGTTTTATGCGAGATAAAATTCATACTAAGATATACAAATGATGCGAATGTTATCATGAATGTATCGATTTGGTGATTCAGGATCAAAATTAAGATATAACACCGTGAAACACCTTGAAGAGTTCGACTTAATCCACAACACAATTCAATAATTTCTTTTGTGACTGATATTCAAAACCCAAAACAACCTTGGGAGACTATGGATCGATGTAAATTCAAGAGACCATATGCTTAGACTTATGTTGTACAATATGGATCTTAAATTGAACCTTAGGACCAGTGTTTTAAAAACCGGACCGGACCGGCCGGTCGGACCGGTCGAACCGGGAACCGGCCTATTAACCGGTCTGGTTTACTAGTTCGATCGTCTGTGTCATCAAACCGGTGAAAACCGGGAAAAATCGGGTTGGACCGGGAAAAACCGGGTTTAGGGTCGGACCGGTTCTAATGCATTTTTTATTTTTTAATTAAAATTTAAATGCAAAAGTTATAAAAATTTTAAAAAAAAATTTGTTTTGATTGTTTTGAAATAATTTTACGTAGACATTAGAGTTATTTTGTTATAAATTATTCAATTATATTATATTGCAATTAGATTTTGTAATTTTGTATTATTTTGTTATGTGTGATACATTTGTTTAAAATTTGAATTTAAATTATGAACTTGTGAATTTATGATATGATATTTTCAAAAAATTTAATTACTAGTTATATTTTTTTAGAAACTGAATCATCCGGTTCGACCGATTTTATATTTATATAATGACAGGTCTATTCAACCGAGTTATCCGGTTTAATCCGGTTTAGTCATGCGGTTCGACCAGTGACCCAGTGGTTCGACCGATAAACCAGTGACCCAATACCCTCACCGGTTCGATGACCGGTCCGGTTTTTAAAACACTGCTTAGGACCCACCACTCCTATACAGGACAAGCCCAAAGACTGAACCAATCGTAAAGGCAAGGTATGAAACTAAAAATTATTCCTTAATAAGTCAGGGATTTGATTTCAACATCCCACGAGTCAAACCCCACAGAAAAGAGGGGGAGAATGGTTGCCCACCCATATAGAAAAGTCGACCAAATTCCATGTCACAACATGCTTAAAGGTTAAAGTAACCAATCCAAAGCGTGTACACATCTATCCATTATTAGGAAAGACATTACCACATCACCTTATATTGTTGTCTCTAGTACACTGCTAGTGGGGATTAACTGAGTTTGAGCGAGAACAAATACAACCTAATAGAATACATGAAATTGAAGATAGTTACAAACTCACAACATGCAATTTTATTATATATAAAAAATAATAAAATAAATTCTTCCTCAAAGTTACAACAAAACTCAAACTTTTACAACACCAGAAAAACAAATCATCTTAAATTGCATAAACATTATATAACATGAAAGCATAAATTATAATAAGAAAGTACATTGTAACACAATTGACCTCACAAAAAGGCCTTTATTCCCCCTTTCCTCTTAGCACACTGTTCTTAAAATTCAAAGTTATGTTTATTTGTAAAATTCAATGACTCCTAAGCATGAGAAAGCACGGCAAGCAACTCGGAATTTTGAAAATCCAGAGAGTTTTCCCAAATTTTCATACTGTTTCTCAGTTCTTTCTCTTCCACCAACAGTGATAAACATGAGATTGTCAAGAGTTGAAACAAGTTTTGATTCTTCTGTGGATGTTGGTTCTTCTGGCAATATGAATTCCACAAGAATCACTTTTCCATTTGGTGACAATGCTTTGTGACATTTGCTTAAAAATTGTATGCATTTTTCATCTGACCAATTATGACATACAGCCTTTAGAATCATGGCATCCCCTTGTGGAACACTTTCAAACATGTTTCCTCCAACATGTTGTATCCCTGGAATTGGTGGTGCATTTTCAATTACCTGTGGCAGATCAAAATTAATTCCCTTAATGGATGGATATTTGGATATTATCATTTTGAGATTCTGTCCACTTCCACCTCCAACATCAACCAATGTGGATATTCCATCAAATCCAGTATATATTTCAAGCATTCTTTTCATCTCTGTTGCACAAACATCCACCATTGACTTGTTAAATACTTTGTTCATTTTCTTATCTTCTCCCATGTATTCGTACTTTGTCACTCCGTGCACTTTCTTGAACAAATCTATGTCTTCATCAACCACTGCTTCCTTAAAATTCATCCTGAATAACAAAAATATTAAATTCTTTATCCAAATAAATATCTTTAATTAATAATTCTTACATGTGTTATATAGTATTAAAGAACTTACCAAACTTGTAGCAATGCTGGATAACATAGAAATGTAGTGAATGAAGCCAAGTAGCCTCTAGTTTCATCCGGGACAAGGTATCTTCCGACCGAAGAGAGTCCATAAACTCTCTCGGTGATGCCATCCTCGGAAGTTCGAGTAGAAGAAGTGAGAAGGGAATAACTAGCAAGCAAACGCATCATTCGGTCGAGCCTGTTAGGCAAGTCGGAGTGTTGGTTTGAGGATGGCAATTGAGAAGCAATTTGTGAAGGTGAGATAAAAGCACCGGGTGGTGTTGCCTTAGCTATAATCTCAAATAAATTGAGATCAATAGCAGCATTCAACACAGCCGGATAAACAAGGTTAGTGGTAAGTACCATAGCTGAAAGACAATCACTGTCTTCTATTTGTTTCTCAGAGGAAACACTGATTTTGTTATCTTCTTCCTTAGTAAAGTTGGTATCTCCCATTTTTTGATAAATAGTATACTAAATGAATGATAATATTTAGTTTAGTTGTTGTTGTGTTTGCTTGCTTTGATATCTCTATTTATAGGCAAAATAAAAACAAGTACAGCTCAAATCAAAGACTTTGTGGTAGCTAGGAGGATTTATATCTACTCCTGAATTATGACTTTCATTTTTTAAAATTAAATAAAATTATACTTGGTTTTGTATTATGTCAAAGGTTACAACGCTCCCTGTTTTCTTTGTATCTTTTTTCTTTTCAATTTGTGTTTTAAAAGTAGAAAGGTTTAACTGACTTATCATTTTATTAAAATAGTACAAACAAAAAATTGAGTTTTAACTTGTAAATTCCTACAATTTCACATTTTAAAATATGTATTTGATTTAAAATACTACCAAAATTGAATATAGATAAAATTGCAGATCAAACTGAGTTCATTCAAGTTAACTTCAATAGCGTTAGGTGAAGTAATACAACCAAAAGTTCTTTTTTATAAGCAAGACATGTATTAAATGAGTACAAGGAATAATCTGTATATCAAACAAACAGAAGTACTAATAATTTTTTGAATGACAGATAAATTACATAAGAATGAAATATAACATGGTATTTGATATTTATTTAATAGAGATTAATTAATATCCATTATCTGTTTGTATTATTTTTTAAGTAGTTAAAATAAAAATTAAATCTTTTAAATAAATCAGCGATTGTGATTACTGACCGGGTAAAAAATTCTTTACACTACTGATAGTCTATATCAATTAAATTCTATTTAATAGGATAAATATTAAATTTAAATTATAAAATTACTCACGTGAATATATATATATATATATATATATATATATATATATATATATATATATATATATATATATATATATATATATATATATAATTTAAATAAAATTTAAAATGAATAAATAAAAGATAAATTTAAAAATAATAAAAAAAAGTTTAATTAATTTTATAAAAAAATTCATTTACACTATTAAATAACCAATTTATTTTTATTTTTAAAATTATAAAGAAATAAGAAATTTTTTATATAAGTTAGATACGTCATATTAATTTATGATATAAATTATATGTAAATGAAGAAATGTTATTTCCAAAAAATTATATTTAACTTTTTAAAACAGTAATAATAATATCTTTGAAATTTTTAGTAATAATTTAATTTTTAATTATTTTAATTTCAAAAAACTGATTTTTAATCAGTATTTTTTTGAAATAAATGTTTAACGTTAAATTTTTTATGAATAAATTAATAATTTTTTATTTTAGCCTATTGGTTTTTAAAACTTAGCTCAATTTTAAGATTGGAATTTCAACTTGAGAAATATAATATAATATATTTTAGAAATTATTATATAATATTATCTCATCAAATATTAAATTGAGACATACAATATTATTATTATAGTATACCTTTTATCATGCCCTTTAAATATACTAATAAAACTTTTTTATTTTTTTAATTCAGTCCTTTTCTTATTTTGAAAGTACGTTATTATAAAATTAGCAAGTAACCAAGAAATAATATGAATTTGCAGATGGTAAATTAATTATAGTTCAAAGTTATCTTCGAATGATATTCTAAAAGTTTCCCATTCACCTTATTATTAATTATTTAGATATTGCCAGTTTGCAACTTACTAATGTTCTAATGTTTGAAATTGAAAGTATCATTGGTTAATTTTTCCCTTTTCTTGATTTTTGATTGTTTAATTATTGCTAGTTTTCTTTTCTTTTTTCTTTGGGTATAGAGGCGGTTTGCTTTTATTAGTGACTTATATTTGCTAGTTTTCTAATTTGCTTTTGCTTTTCACTTATTATTAGTTTGCTCATCATTTTCAATCTTTTCCAATGCAAATTCAGTTGAGTGAAAGCTTTGAAAAAAGAGATTTTTGCCAAAAGAGAGTAGCATAACCGGAGGACACTTGATCTTGCTTAAAGATTGAATCAACATTAAATATAGGACTTTGGAGTTTAAGTTTCTATTTCTCTCTTGTATCAAACTTTTTGCAAAGTTAATTGAGTTGCTCAATTCCATTTGGAATTGTGACATACTTACCCATAATATGAAACAATTTTAGAACTTTCTAAACAAATCTTTGTAATCTCTCTCTCTCTCTCATATTAATCTATTTCTTCTTCTTTTTCATTTCTCTATGTGTGATGGAAAATTATTATTGTTTCCTTCTCAAAATAAAAATTTCTTTAAGTAGGTTTGGTACGGTAGCATAACTAATATGTGCTAATTAAGTTAAATTAGTATAAATTATTGGTTTAGGGTTAAATCTCTGACGAAAATCTTTATTTATATGTATGTATTTATGTAAATAATTTTTAATATTTATAAATTAACAACTTTTAGAAAATAAAATTTAAGGTCATTACACACAGATTAAAAAATAATAAATTAATGTTATAATTTTATAAAACTCCTAATTACTATTGGTTACATTCCCTCACGTTTGGATATCTTGGGCATAATGTATATGATGGGTGACGAGATAGCGGAAACTTGATAGCATGTGATGTAACAGATCTTAAACCAAACTATGATGTCATCTTAGAATGTGTAGGTTGGGGCTAACTCGTCCCTAAAGAAAACCAACTTATGAGATTAGGATTATTCTCACTTATAAACACATGTTCAAGTCATATACTATTTAATGTGTGACTCTTATCATATTCATTGTTATAAATGCACATTAAAATGTAATGACTTAAAAGTAGTTTGGATAATATTTATTAGTGATAAGATTGATGAAAAAAGTTAATTAATGTTGTATTGAAAAAGTAAAACTACACTTATCTTGTGACAAATTTTTTAGACTTAAAAAGACACTTATTTTCAGGAAGTAGTAGAAACAATTTAATTTTTTCTAGAGGCATTGGATTAAAGGGACGAAATATATCATTATAGTCTTAAATGATGTAATTTTGATACACTACTGTTTGTAGGGATGACAATGGTTATAGTTTAGGTAGAGTACTATAATACTCATTCTCATATCTACATTTTAAAATATAAATATGGGACCCACTAAGTTAATCTTTTAAGATGGTCATATCGTTTAACCGAATATAGTTTTTAGGAAACTAAAATTTAATAATATGTTTACCTTCTAATTTAAGTTTAAACCGTCTAATCAAAGATCAAAGAGATAAAGGATGAAGATAACACGCCCATAATGCAAGAAACTGGAGGAAAAAATAGGTTTTATGAGAAGCATTATAAAGACGAAAAGGATAGAATAGAGAAGATTAGAACGTCTAATACAATCAGAAACAATGATGAAAGAGATATAACACATATAGGTTAGATAGTAACCAAAATCAATAAAATCCTAATGGACGTGGATATAGATCTATCAATTTTTTTATAAGAGATGAAATATACAAAGCTCATAACTTTATCATAAAAAGTAGGGGATTACTCTTTGCACCCTTAGTGGTGCTCATACATGCTAGTGAAAAAACCAACAATGCCCATAAAATCTAAAACTTATCCCTTGGATGCAACTAAGTCCAAGTCTCAAACCTAAGACAAAACATTGATGAAAATATCCAGAGGTTAATCTCTGTATTTTTTTACGGAGGCTAACATCCATATTTTCTACCGAGGTTAAGTTTTGTACGCGTTTGATTTAAAGGATGCATCATACCTTCCCTCTTTATTCTTCTTCATTTTCACAAAGTTTTACTTAGAATGCAAAATAGAGCTCGTGAGCAAACTCTATTTCCATAAATTTTCAAGCTTTCTCGCTACATATATTGCTTTTCATTCAAGCCTATGATATCAATCAACCTCTACTCCACCCCCTTCAATGAAAAGTCATTAACATCTTACATCAATAAGTTTTTCATTCTCTTACTTTTTTTTTATAGTTTTGTGATGAATTAGTTTGTAGTTAAACGTATAACAGATTGTTTATAATACTTTATGACACATAATAGGTTGTTTAGTGAGGCATGCATGTATATTTTTTGAAGTTTGAAGTTAGAGCATTTAGGCATGCTTTATTTCTTTATTTTTCTACTTTTAGAAAAGTATGGAAGTTTACTTCCGGATTTGATTGATATGCATAGGTTATTTAATTTTGCGTATTTTGTCCCCTAGATTTGGCTTCTCTTATTATGATATGATTTTTCTGATGTAATTATAGGTAAAATGTCGGAATATATCAATGTAGACAAATTGAGGCATGGTAGAGTGGACCAACATGCTTTTGTTCAGAGGAAAAGGGATAGACCCTCTTGCATAGTCATTGGTGGCACTTCATTTTATGTAGAAGCATCATTTTTTCGGAGTCCAAGTATCTTCAACATCATCTTCTTGAAGGCACGAGTCCCTTGTTGTTTCCCCAGATGCCCTAGAAGTCTAATTTTCTGCTATTGTTCTTGATGTTTATCTAGGAAGCCCTTCAGACACTCACTACTTTGTCTGTATGCTGACCATGTTAATAGGCACATGTGGGATGAAAGGTAAAATAAATTTTTATTTATTCTTTTAAACACGTGTGTTGTAATATTTGAACTTTCTAACATTGATGTATTTTTTACTACACCGTGGGTCATTAAAACATATCAATTACTGTAGGAAGATTGTGAAATTGCTACTGCGTGATGAACCATGGTTTTAGGATGTCATGCAGCTATCTGGAGTCCAAGATTTATGCATGGTTGGGTATACTTTTATTAACCATGGTGTCGTACCCCAAAATTTTACCTCTCCTTTTTGCATAAACATGTGCACTTGCAATCACATCATACACGTCGGTATTTTATATCTGTGGATTTATTCCAGGGATATCCAAATTATCAGAAGGTCTCGAGGCTATGAAATTAATACTGGCACGACGAGGGTTTATTGTATCCTAGACTAGTCGTTAAAGCATCAATACAGGAAAAACAAAATGATTTCTATGTCAATCTATCCAAGCACAAGGTCAAAGCACGAAGTCATGGCCAAAGCACCTCATTTCAA